ATATATATATATATATATACATATCCATGACGTAACGCGAATCTGAACATTGGTCAACAGTGGGCTCTCTGACCTCCTTAGTAGCACAACATATTTTCATATTATTGTTGTATATTCACGGTGAACCGCACATATATTCGAAGAGAATATGGCCAACTGACACAGTCAGCATAACTTATGTAGTCGACACACCCAACGGCCGACGCTCGGCCTCCGCCCGGACGACGACGCTCGTGATTTCACACGGCACCTTGACCTATGTCAAAGCTGTAGGAATTTGTTAGGATAATGTGCAGAAGACCTGAGAACATATGTCCCTCACTCGGATCTTCTGTTTTCAACTATATTCCACCGGGGGGATCCACGGACTCTATGTAGTAAGTGCGATGGCGATCACCACATGTTGATTCGCTGCAGTCATTTTGATCTTTGAAAATTTTTGCGCGTCTTTCACAAATAATGTGGAACTTCGAATGTCTTCTGTATATATCAAGTGTGAATTCATTTACTTTTCGAAAAAATAAAGACCCCATATGTATGGAACGCAACAGCCTTGCGACAAATATCTCAGAAAGTAACTATATCATTCTGCTCGCTGCTCATCATCCTTGGTGCATTACTCACCATAAAAATCCACTGTGAAGATACCACCGTTCAACGCAACCAGCCATTGTAATCATGAGCACGAATCTCGTTTCGTTTGAAAATAAAATTAATAGCATGTGTCCAGATATTCAGCGGGTGATGCCGGAAATTTAGGCACGACAAAATACAAGCCATATTTGCTACCTTCATTTTTCTGATAACTTTCATGGGGAATTACAGTCAACTAAGACAGTCTAAATACTCATGCATAATGAAGAGCCTTCATGGGAATCTGAGTAACCTGAAGATTGTTGGCCGATCTTGTGGAGTCTAGGATAAAGTAACATGTCTTCAATCAATATACCGATTGGACTAAACCCCCAAGCACCATTGTTAGATTGAACACGGAATTCAAATCAGCCACTGCAATATGCCACCACAAACTTATAAGAAACGCCCGGTCGCATGCAGAGTACCCAGTGTGATCAATACAGGTTCTTGTGCTGGCCACACTATCATTTTCAA